CTTCTGTAATCACCCGATATTTAACATTAGTATATGTACAGTTAATAACTGCACAAGGCCCATGGTTTTGTTGGAGACGCATTTTATTTTTCCTTGCCCCTGATTAGTTCTATTTTTATTTTACAAGAATAATTAAACATATATAATTGAAAATTTTTTTTTTTATTATACTATAACAAAAAAAAAATTTTACTTCAACAAAATTGTCAGCGACAAGACTTGGCGACGAAACTTGGCGACACGACTTGGCAACGAGACTTGGCGACGAGACTTGGTGGCGACGAGACTTGGCGGCAACAAGACTTGGTGGCGATGAGACTTGGTGGAGACCAAAGTTGAAGCGACAAAGCTTTAATCACAGTAATATTTATCACGACAAAGTTATAGACACAACGAATTTAACCACGGCTACAATGAAATTATATTTAATCTTTAATTACGCCAACTTTCTTACAGATGAACGTGAAAAGGCTTTGATCACACTGAAACTTTAATTATACCAGAACTTCGACTTCACCATAACTACACGAATCTCTCACACTATACTTTAACTGCGTCGAAACTTTAACCCCAACGACAGAACGAAAATTAAGACAAATTTTTTTTTTTTTGAGTTATATATATTTTTTAATTGGCCAATCACGATTTAATAAATCAGGATCTGCATGGTGCATATTTGTGGCCAATAAAATAGAACCTCTGTCATGCTGAAAATTAGCAACGGTAAATACGATCCGATCGATCCGATCATATTAACCAATCAAAAGGGTCAAAAGAGCTTCCATCATGATTATCGTGCTAACCAATTATACCATGGCAAATTTTTATATCTAACAAGTGAAAAGTGTAAACGTGAAAGTTAAGTGACTTAATCTTTGTAATAATAAAAATGGTATGTATACTTAAGGCTTTTACAAGTTCAATATGCTTTAGATTATTTGCAATTAACTTTTTTTCTCAATCAGTCAACGGTTCACAGCCAGACCGCTCTTGAAACTTTTCACGAGGATATGGTGGTAGGTAATTTGTAATCAATTATTACAATCTACAAGAACATTCAGCTGATCCATTTTTACCATTTAGCATGATGCACAACTCGATTATTATGGGAAGAGATTAGCAACTTGTTCTTCTGATCGTTCTATTAAAATATTCGAAATTGAAGGAGAAAATCGTCAGGAAATTGTGACATTGAAAGGGTAAATTGTGTGAATTAATACAGTTTGAGATTAATCAATTATGCACTTTGAAGCTCAGAATTTCATGTTTATCGCTTTTAGACACGATGGACCTGTGTGGCAGGTCGCTTGGGCTCATCCGAAATTTGGAAGTATATTAGCCTCATGTTCATATGATAGTAAAGTTATTATTTGGAAAGAACAGAAGGGTTCTTGGAAAAAAATCAAGGAATATACAGGGCATACAGCTTCTGGTATGATAAGATTAGTACAGGTTGGAGACGTGAGATATAATTTTTCATGTCAAGAAACGGGTGGCTTGTTATGATTTACATCGACTTGCTTGACAACTTGCTTGACATTTAGTGAATTCTGTGTCTTGGGCACCTCACGAACTTGGACCAATCCTAGCTTGTGCTTCTTCCGACGGGAAAATATCAGTGCTCACCTTCAAAGGTGCGTACTACTATAGTTTTTATTGTTCGCCTTTTCAATGTGTAGCTAAATGAGTTTATTATTTTAAAAGACGATGGTTCATGGGATGCACGTACTTTTGAAGCACACACCATCGGTGCTAATTCGGTCAGTTGGGCGCCAGCGACAATACCAGGAGCGTTAGTTCAAATCACTGGTGGTGCGCCTAATGTGAATGTTACTAAGAGATTTGCATCAGCAGGCTGTGATAATTGTATAAAAATCTGGGTTTATAGGTTTCATTATATTCAATTATTTATTGTCGCAGATTATGCTAAGATAGTATGATGTTTTGAATATATAAAAACCAAAGTTTTATACTCTTTTTAATTAACAGTTCTAGCCCTAATTCCCTAAAAAAAAAAAAAAAAAAAAAAATGCAAAAAATTTAAAATTTCAGCATCATCCAATTTTAGCGTCATCTGCGGCATTTATTAATGTTAAATAAGATGGACTTTATTTAGTTCTTTTTTCCTATTTGCAATAGAGAAGACACTAATGAATGGAAAGATGAGGAAACTTTAGAAGGACACACAGATTGGGTACGTGATGTCGCGTGGGCTCCAAATGTTGGCCTTCCAAAAAGCTATTTGGCTAGTTGCTCTCAGGTGAGACGGTGATTGTCTTCGATGGCTAAATCATTAGCAAACACAGCCCAATATTTAATAATATTTTTCTGACTTTTAAATAGGACAAGACTGTCTTTATTTGGACCCAAGACACGCCAAATTCTACATGGAATAAAAAACCCCTTCGTAATGATAAGTTCCTTGATGTTGTATGGCGAGTTAGTTGGTCTCTGTCTGGCAATGTGCTTGCGGTTGCCTGTGGCGACAATAAAGTCACCTTGTGGAAAGAAAACTTAAAAGGTGAATGGGAATTATTGAGTGAATTGGCTGAACAATGAGATATGAAATTTTTTGAGGGTATTGTTAATCATCTGGTAATTATAAATAATTGCAAAGGATTAATTAGTAATACTCAGTATGTGTACAAGCGGAATAGATTATAATTACTAAATTTCTTATAAATTAAATAAAGGAATTAATTTTACATAAGTTTTATAAATAATAGCTAAATTTGAATTTTTTATTAATTTTATCATGTAGTAAACGTTTCTAATGGTAAAGATTTTAACCCTTTAATGTCGTAATAATAGCGATAGCGATAGTGGTAAAGTTTTTTATGAACACGGTTCTAGCCACATGGCCTCAGGCCGACAGAGCCTTGGTTTAAGGTTAGAGTGTCGGAATTAGTTATCGACATCAGCCGAAATCGGGAACTAAACGATTTCAATAAATTTTACTAAAATTAGCCAATCAGATGAAAGCCCGACACGCTATTCGGATAATTATTCTAAAATTAGCCAATCAGAAACACGCTTTTCGGATAATTATCCAATCAGAATGAAAGCCCGACACGCTATTCGGATAATTAGAGCGTACACCAGTTTCGCTATTAGGTAGGGTAAAGGTTCAGCAATCCATATTTAAAAGTGACTAGCGACATGGTATGGAGGATTTTTCCGTCTCTCGCTCACTGCAGGAATGAACTAACCTTTTTGCAATTTAGTCTCTCCGTGCAATTCCTTCAAATAACCTTCCTTCTACCAAAACGGTAGCAGCTACGGCAAACTCTTATGGTGTGCACGATACGTTCCGTTATGGACCTAAGTCTATAGAAGCAGAAATTTCGCCAACTCATCCCCTCGAAAACCGACTCAAACAAGTTTGAACTGTTATTATTTTTAAAATCCATAGTTAAACAAGTAGATCAAGCCTTTGACATCTCTAAAATTTAATAGTGGGAAGAGACTCAAACAAATCTGAAACTTACAATGCAAAGAAGAATCTATGGCATTCATGCACCTATAAGACATCTTATGGAACGAAATATTGTATCCAGGGTATGTCAACTTTCAGTGTATATATATTATCAGTTTTTACATATCGTGCCTTGAGTAATTTGCTTCTTTTCAATTTGTTTAGGTGCAACGTCTACCGGGTTTACCATCATCTAATTTTGGATTAGAAATTTTGATGGGCAAAGATGAAACAATTGAATTTGAAGATTTCTTGAGCGGCATGTCTTCTTTATTATTATTATTATTGTTATTATTATTATTATTATTTTGACAGTTCTTATTGCAAATAACAGATCCAGAATTATCAACTGAGATGGTAGATTTGCATTCAGCAATGGAACATAAATTGGGCATCAAATAAAAATTATTAAGATGTTTTATAAACTCTTCAATGTTTATTTATGTATTAAGAAATATCCTGATAGCAATAAATAGATCTATTGAATTTTAAAAATTCAATTGCAATCAACAATGAATTTTCGAAACTGTTCATATGCTGTGTCTAAATCATCATTTACAATAACTTTATCGTGAGAACCCTCTTCTGCAGCGTAAGCCAATTCTTCTTTTGCAGCTTTAAGACGTGCTTGTATCGCGTCTTCAGACTCAGTACCACGATTACGTAAACGTTCTTCGAGGACCTGGAGTGATGGCGGTGCGACGAACAGGAAACGCGCATTAAGATTTGTTTTTTTTACAGATTTAACACCCTATTAAAATATAAATACAGAAAATGGGTAAGCGGATGATGTAAACTATTTGAAAATACAATCTAATTGATTACCTGCAATTCTATGTCAAGAATACAACATTTTCCTTCATCTGCGACAGCGCGCACGGCATCGATGCTTGTTCCGTACAAGTTATTCGAAAATTCAGTGTATTCTATAAATTTATTTTGAGCGATAAATTTTTCAAATTCTTCGCGTGATACAAAGTGATAATGGACGCCATTTTGTTCATTAGGACGAGGTGAGCGTGTGGTATCTAGCGTTATAAACAAAAAAAATATTATTATAACAGGAAAAAAAAACAGGTATTTCTCCAGAATTAACTCACGTGATACACTAAATCCGAATCTATTTGGATAGTCTTGAAAAAGACGTTTTAACAGCGTAGATTTACCAGATCCTGATTGCAGTATTAAATGGTTCATTATTTATTGCACAAACTGAGTAACCACATGTTTACGAGATTAAACAGATTTAATAATATACCGGATGGTCCAGAAACCACTACGGGCCGAAGTTGCTCTGTTTATAACAGGCAAGAATAACATGAAGAATTATTGCACAATGCGGCTCTATTAATTGAATTATTGTTCATTCACATTACCAGCTGTGGCCATTTGCACTAATTTAGTCGATTTGTTGAAAAAATGTCTTATTATTGAATGTCCTCGAAAATGATTCATAAAGTGAAACAACATTGATCGTTTAAATAGTTTTCATTTGCATTTATTATTAGTGTAACCGTGGCCTAACACTAAATTAATAGCTTATCTTTAATTTGAAATTTTTTATCGGAGTTAAAATTTACCAGTATGCTATTTCCCGAAATAGGGGTCGGCCGATTTCACGTGATCACAGCCAATCAAATTATAGAATTTTGATGATCGTCGGCGAAGCAAAACAAGAAACAAAAACGAAAAACCCAAAAAATAGAAAAAACGGCAGTCTAAATCTACCTCAGATAGGTTAAGTGAAAATGTCGAGAAGGCAATTTTGCTTATATATAACAATCTAAAACCTAATCTAACCTTAATATAAGATGACCCTAACCCTAAAGTTAATTGAAATATAAGGTTACGTGGTTTTGCCCTCACTTTAGATGTCCCCAAAAAAAGGAAATTCAATGTAAAAATAAACTAAGTTTGTGAAAATAAAAATTTAGAATTAGAACACTAAAGTTAGATGCTTAGAAATAAATATTTATCTCTTATACAGTATATAAAACTTCATTTCCGTCACTTTTAATTAGTGACCAAAGACAGTTTTAAACACTCAGTTTCTTGTATTTTCGCTTTTTTCATTTTTTTTTCATGATTTACTTCGCTTCGCTTACGTGTCGAACTGATCTGGGATAATTACATTTACATTCTCCAATTGGCTAATTTCCCTTTTTAGATTTGTATCACTCGCACAAATAAGTGTATGCGAAATGTAACACCAATGCTAAGAGTACTAAATAGTACTGAAAAGTACTAACTATTGCTAAAGTAATATAGATAGGACCAGTAGTTCTAAAGCACTTATTACATTAATAGCATTAATGCCTTCTGTTAAAATTAATGGTTCTGCAGTATGGGCATCCTTAAACCAATATATAAAATATATAATTTTTAAAAATTTATAAATAAAAAAACTAAAATAGTTATAAATTAAATCTCTTTGTAAAATAATAAAATAAAACCTAAAGAACAAAGTTACAAAGTTTATTTTTTTAGTTAATTAATATTTAATAAAGTTATAACCTTTTGAAGTTATTAATAAAATAAAAATTTGGCCACATATATATAAAAATATAATAAAATTTTAAAATATATAATAAAATTTTAAAAAATATAATAAAATGTTAAACTATTAACCAATCAGAATTTAGTATTTTGTTTCAAATTTGGCCACTTTTAAAAAAGTTGTTGGTTTAAGGATGCCTGCACTGTAGTAAATTTGTAATTTGTAAAAATAGTAACAGAGATCAATAGTTCAAAAAGTATATATAAATAGACTTAGATATTTCTCTTGTAAAGAACAGAACTCGAAGTTCCAATAAATAAAGAGTAAATTGTGTCTTCATATACAAACAACTTGAATACTTTATTGAATAAATTATACAAACAACCCTTTCTTACAAGTGTGATTGTGTTTTCATACACAGATCACTTAAATAAAACCCTATCTTGGTTATAGTATCTTTATATATGAATAACTTAAGAATAAATTTTAAACTTGTTTATACATCTATTTGTGTCTTCACATACATATAGCTGTTTGTCTCTTTCATAATAGCAAATCACTCAATTCTCTTAATAGTGTTAATGCAACTAACCCCATATTTTACTTAGTATAAATCGGCATTTTTGATAGAATTACTTAATTTACCTGTCGCTATAGTAAAATGTTATACCAGATCAGAGACCCATAAAAATTGTGAAAAGATTAAAAAACAATAAATCACAATTTTTACTTGATATCACAATATAAAACAATTTTATCCTTTTTTTATGCATGTGAAGTTATACAATAATTTAATTAGCCAACTATTTTTTGAAGCCAATCATCTTTGTGCATTCCATGTAACTTCATGTGCATGAAAATATTTCCATTATATGAATTCAAAAAAACATTATATTATTGTGTAAAATAATTAAGAAAGTCTAAAACTCAGAGAATATTTAAGATTTATAGTAACTATAAATATCAAAATGACTAGTTAAAAAGATATTTAAGAAGTTAAATGCAAGTTTTAATTTTAACTTTATTTTGTTTATTTTTATATCTTGTATATTAATGTAAAAATTAAATTGTTAGGTATGTGTTTATAAATATGATTAGATATGAATACAAATAGTAATTATTTACTTAATAGTATAGATTAAATGGCAACTCTGTAATAACTGAAAAATATAGTAGAATAATTTAATTGACAATTCTCCAGTCAACTAAAGAATGATCATAGTGAAACGTGATGCGGTTCTATATATAAATTACTATAGGTGCAAAAGTAGAAATTTTCTAGTGATTGTCCAAAGAAAACTTTTTTTCATACTAAGTTAATTATCTTTGAGTCTCTAATTAAAGTTGTAGAGCTCATCGAGACGAATCTAATGGTAGTTAAATCATCCAAATCGGCCTTGTGGATGCCAAGATATCTTTGAAAACCGTTTCGCCAACTATATAAAATTCTTTAAGAACAATCCAAAGAATTTTATATAGATAGCAAAACATTTTTCAAAGATATCTTGGCATCCACAGCATTTACTAATTTTCACCCACCTTTTCTACGATTTTTATTGGCTGCAGGTAAATCTTATCTCCGATTGGGTGAAATCGTTGCGTAACCTTCTGCACTCATTGTTGACTTTCATTTCTGACTTATGTCCGACTTTTATTTTATTACATAGCGATAGGCAAATCAATTGCTCGGGTAACTTATTTATACGTACACATTAAAGTACTTTTTGATGCCGTAACATTTCACTAAAAAAAGAATTATTTTTTACATATCGATATATCGCTTCATTTGAGTACTACAAAACCACCTTTAAAAATAATTTTTTCTAATCTAAAATTCAAGAACTGTTAGCTTAGTGACGACTTTTCAAAATAGGTTAAGGAAAAAACTTGTATTTTAAAGTACTTGTTTAAAATAGAAAAATTATTCCAAGATCTATTTGTAGCTTTAGAACACTGACGAACTTCGCTTAGAATGCTATTAGATCTTGCAAAAAGGTAACTAGAAATATTTTTGTTTAAGAACTTTATTATATTATATTAAATAAATTTGTTTAAATTTGAATAGGGACAGGTTCTTTAGTTGTAAAAAGACCCGGGCTTAGTGTTTAAGTTTGGTTCGCTTCTTTAGTACAGTAAAATCTCCGTAAGTGCACGCTCTTGAGACCAAACTTTAACTGCGTGCACTTAGAGAACAATAAGAAAAAGTCAAAGTTATATATGTCTTTGGGTCTGAACTTAAGTGTGCATTTAGAGAGGGTGTGCACTTATGGAGGATGCACTTATGGAGGTTTCACTGTATGCTTGGGATTGTTAATTGTAAAATTTTTGAATTGTATTATATATTGTAGATTTTTGGATTTATTAGTAATAAATATTATATTTTCTTGCTCTACGCGTTTCTATCTATTCTCTAAATATATATGATAAATTTTTTATCAGTTTGTAAACTGCTTTGTCTTTTTTTTATTTTTGATATCAGTATCAACGATAAAATTATTTTAAACTGTACAATTTGATTGGCTAAAAATTACGGGAAACCACAGGTAGATCTATAAAACATATCTTTGTGTGCAAAAAAAAAGATCGTCTTTTCTCTGTTACTTAGATTTAACAAGCATAATTATTTTAAAAGAGTGATTAATTTGGAAAAAGCTATTAATTAAAATGAACAAAAGGTCAAAGTTAAAACACTCAAGTGGCAAATCGCGGTTAAAGGGCATAAATTTCATAGTAAAAATCAGCAGAAATTTACTATTACTTTTATATTGTTAGAATGCTTAATGTTTTTGGCAATATATAGTTATAAAGGAGAAAATGCCAATAACCTGCGGTTTACCAAACCAATTTGAATAATTCTACAACCATTAGAATCGAAATAACTCATTCATAATCTTTGTTAGAAACTCAAAAAAGGTTTACTTGCATTCCAACTCATAGAAAAACTCTGACAATTTCTACTATCAAATTGGCTATTTTATACCCTTTAATCGCGATTTACCTCTTTATATATTTAGTAACTGGGTGGACATTGTATATCATATAAATTAAAAAAAAGTCAGGTGGTCAGGTTTGTTTAGAATTTTTAAAGTTAGAAAATTAAAAGTTTATTTCATATGGATTAATTTTTTTTTTTAAAAAAAAATATACAGACAAATTTTTTTTAAAAAAATTTTTTATTACTCTAATAAACTTAATTATTTAAAAAAACTACTTAGGTAATGTACACTCTATATCGATATTATATTTTAAAATCTAACTTGTTTTTGAAATTTTAAATTCGATGCAACGTTCTGGGATTCAAGCTCATTACTGGTAATTAATGATACAGTGTCGATTCTTGCCATTCTTGCCCTCTCCATTTGAACTGCTTGTTGGAGAGTAAGCCGTAGACTACGAATATCCTGACTATCTTTATTTTTTCATTCTATTGCAATTGCTGCAAGTTCTTCTTGCAGTTTTTCAAATTCATTTTTTTTTGTATTAGTATAAGTCACAAGT